AGAAAGATAGGCAAATGCATCCATCGAGGCCCCTTTACTCTCCTGGGAGATTCAAAGTTGCCTTCAAAGACACGCCATCGCTCTAGCCCTTCATAGAAGAAGCTATTAGTCAGAGAAGCTGGTTAATAGGAGCCTGGTCTCTCCTCTAATTAGGAAGGAGCCGCAGGCTCTCCTGGATGGTGTCTCTGCTGCAGTGAGGGGAGATGGGCTGGGCCCTCCCAGGTCTTCGAAGCTGTCAGAGCTCAGTCTCAGACCCACACCTACTCTGGAGTATCCCTAGGAAACTTGAGACAAAGAGGAGGACAAAGGGAACATACCTTTTCTTTGGGGGCCAAGAGCTGCCTCTCATCTAGCACTGTGGCATCCTCACCTCCCTCTCTCGTCATTAAAAGGCTCTCTAAACCAGAGGAATTTTTTTTAAAGGAGGTGTAAATAGGAATTGTTGGTAAGGGAAAACAGGGAATCTCTGAGTCTTTTGAAAACTCGTGTTAAGTTTCTACTTTTAACGAGAACACTGTAGAGTAGGTGGTGCTGATGTCTCAAGACTTTCATTATTTCCCCTCACTATTGCCCCTCACTATTTCCCCTCAGGCTTAATGAGGACCCTCCACATCTGAGCCCTGCATCTCTCTTCCGCCTCCTGGCCTGGCCCTCCTCCAGTATTGAGGGGTTGCTTGGAGTCCCCAGGTGACACCATATTCCCACCTATTTGTCCCAACAGGATTACCTTTGTTCCTCGTCTCTTTCCAGAATTCTCTTTTAAAAAAAGATATATTTTTATTGATTTCAGAGATAAAGGGAGAGGGAGAGAGAGATAGAAACATCAATGATGAGAAAGAATCATTGATTGGCTGCCTCCTGCATGCCTCACACTGGGGATCGAGACCGAAACCCGGGCATGTTGCCCTGACTGGGAATTGAACCATGACCTTCTGGTTCCTAGGTCAACACTCAACCACTGAACCACACCAGCCAGGTGTCTTTCCAGAATTCTTATTGGTCCTTTAAGGGTTCAGTTCAAAAGTCACAAATGTGCTAATTATTTATTTACACACATACTTCACTTCCTCTTTAGGTTCTGATCACCCCCCACCAGGCAGAAATGCCTCATTGTACTTAACATGCCCAGCCCAGCATATAACCACAATTTAACGAAACTTTTACTAGTAAGAAAGACATGGACAGGAACCTTTGAGTAAACACACACTTTATTCGAACTACCCAAAGAGCTAAGCTTACCATGCTTCACAGGATGCGAATTTCATCTCGTGGAGAGGAAACCACTTCTGCCTGGGCTGTTGAGACGACCATTTTTACAAATGATGATCCAGGCCCTCGGTCCTCCGTGTCTTCTGGGCCCCTGCGAGCCCCTCCTGGCCAAGGCCGAGCTCTGCTAGCAATGTGTCGGGATATGTGTGGGCTGTTGGGACAGAGGGAGGAGCTTCACTTTTCCCCCCCTTTTAGTCTAGAATTCCTCTTCCTTTCCTTTCATTTGCCTAGACCAGGGATGGGCAAACTTTTTGACTCAAGGGCCACAATGGGTTCTTAAACTGGACTGGAGGGCTGGAACAAAAGCATGGATGGAGTGTTTGTGTGAACTAATAAAAATTCAAAGTAAACATCATTACATACAAGGGTACGGTCTTTTTTTTCAATCGTTTTATTCATTTCAAACGGGCCGGATCCGGTCCGTGGGGCGTAGTTTGCCCACGGCTGCTCTAGGCCCTAAACTAACTATAACCTAGGCCTTGCCTGGATGCCTCCAGTTGTTGTTGTTTTTAATAATTTTTACAAATATTTTGTTCATTTTAATAAAGCTGGTGCAGACAGTGTCCATTGAAAGCCCATATCCCAAAAGCAGACATAAAATGAAAAGAGCAGCGTCCTGTTGTACACACATCTGCACGAATAGCTACTCTGCTGATGGAGTTGCGCTGCGCTGGGACCTTCTGGCAGAGCCTTCCTTCCTCTTCCAATGCCTTCTCTTCAGTCAAGCGGCTTTGGAGTTAGTCTTTATCTCACCCCACCTGTCATCCGGACTCCGACCTGGTGCTCCTCTTCTTTTGGTCCAGACCTTCAGTTTTTTATTATTTTTTAAATCCTCACCCAAAGATATTTTCCCACTGATTTTCAGAAAGAGGGAAAGACAGAGAGAAACATCAATGTGAGAGAAGTACATCGATTGTTGCCTCCTGCACGTGTCCCGACCAGGGACCAGGTCGGGGAGGACCCTGCAACTGAGGTACATGCCCTTGAACAGAATCGAACCCAGGACCCTTCGGTCTGCAGGCCGATGCTCTATCCTCTGATCCAAACCGGCAGGGGCTAGACCTTCAAATTTTAAAAGACGCTTCAAGTTGAGGAAGGATAATTTTCCCAGAGTTCAGGTCTCTGGGAGCTTCCCCTCCCCCGGGAAGGCCCAGTGCTGAAGCGAAGCAGTCACAGGCTGGAACCCAGGCTGTTAGACGTCGTTATGACACTTGTGTCAATGCACCTTATTTATCATAAGCCAGAAAGCACCAGTCCTCCCTGTGCACACGCGCAACATTCCAAAGGAGAGGGCAGCCCCAGCCGGTTTGGCCCAGTGGATAGTGTTGGCCTGTGGACTGAAGGGTCCCGGGTTCTATTCCAGTCAAGGACATGTACCTCGGTTGCAGGCTCAATACCTGGTCCTGGTCAGGGCATGGGCAGGAGGCAGCCGATCAATGTCTCTCTCTCACATCGATGTTTCTCTCTATGTCTTTCCACCTCTCTTGCCCTCTCTCTAAAATTCAATGGAAAAATATCCTTGGGTGAGAATGAAAACCAAAACAAAAGGAGGGCTGAGGTGTGACCTCCCAAGTCAGCACAATGAAAACAAATGCAATGCAGAATGGGCTCTAGAATTCCAATGACCAGGTGTTTTAAAGGGATGGGGGTGAGTTTTCAATTCCGTTTTGAACATCACATTACAAAATAACTATTTTTAACAATAAAAAGCGGGGAAATAAAATAAAATGAATGCCTACACTGTTAAATGACCCCCTGTTTGCCCCTGATGGACTTCAACCCCATCGTCCCCTCCACTGCCCGTCCTCCTGGGGCATGATCACCAGCTGCTCTCTGACCTTCAGGGAGAACCTGAGTGCAGTCCCTGGACTCCCACCGGGGACGGTGTGGGACCCTGAGTTTCCTGGGATGTGTGGTCCTTTTCACTCTGAAGTGACCCTCACTGCTCTCCTGTCCATGGACTCTGAGTTGAATGTCTTCTCCTTCCTACTCACCCCCAAGTCCTCAGGTGACGGTCTTGCCTCCCGGTCAGACATGGTGGTAGTGGCTCCACTGGGGTCTCCCACAGCAGGGGTCTCCCACAGCGGGGGTCTCCCACACAGGGGTCTCCCACACAGGGGTCTCCCACAGCAGCGGCCTCCCCGCCGGTGGGCAGAACCCAGCCGATGCCTCCAGCTTCGATCAGAGTCTTGCTGACCGGCTTCCTGGGACTTTTAGGGGCAAACCTCCTTTTTATGTCGTGTTTTCTCTCCTTAGCCCCACCTTTGGCCTCCTCCCGCCCCACCCAGGGAGGGAAACTGGGTGACCCAAGCCACTCCTGCTAACTGGAAGGAACTGGGCGTCGCTGGGCACGAGGCCAGGCGCTTGAACTCCGCTGAGCCTGGGCCCTGGGCAGCTGCTGGCCCTCCTGGCAGGGCTGGCCGTGTCCCCAGGCGGCGGGCTACCTGGGGGGCGTTCTTCTCTCCTGACAACAGGCAGTTTGTTCAGTGCTTCTGGCCCTGGTTCCTCTCCTGCTGCTTCTCCTGCCTCCGGCCGCGCTGGTAACCTGACCTCGCAGCACACTGGGCGGCTGGCTGGGCCTCAGCTCTCCCTCTCCGTCAGGCTGCCTTCCCAAGAGCTGCCCGCCAGCAGGGGATCCCGTTCCCCTAACTCCTTTCTTTCAGGCCCTGGAGCTGAACTCTCGGGACCTCTCCACCAGAAAAGCTCTATTTTGTCCTCTTGCTGTTTCAAAGGCCCCCGCACCCTGATTTTAGGTTGATCGCAGACCTGGGAGCTGACAAAGGAGCCACACACTCACTGTTTTCAGAAACGCTCCCTGCGTCCCGCTGGGTGCAGGCCCTGCCTCCGGCAGCCTGGTGTGAGGCTCAGCTCTCACACCGACTTCTGTTTTCTTACCTTTCTTCCTTCTCCGTGACCGTATTTTCGCATTATTCTTTCCTCTTTGCTTTTCTTGTTCTTCACTTTTGTAATCTTCCTCTCTCAGTAGAGTTTTCTCTTTTCTTCCCCATGTTTTAGCATTTCCAGTCCGACTGCCCCTGCCTCCAGCCCCTGGCCATGTCTCTGTCCCAGGATTTAACTGGCAGAATTTTCAGAATCACTGACACATTTGCCAGGGCAGTTCGTCCGCGCTGGGGGAGAGGCTCCTGAGCCAGCCGAGCCCACGTCTTAACCGCAGGCAGAACCGTTCTCGACCTCCCCGCTGCACTGCTGGTCACGGACCTCCTTCTGGAGAGGGAGGCCTTGGCGCATCGGAATTCCTCTACCTGAGCTTCCTCCCACGGGGCGACCCTGAAAGGGGCCCGTGAACTGGGAGGCCCAAGTCAGTGACGTATTTTGAAGGCTTTTCCTGCAGAGTCCCCTGTGTTGGTTGTTCACACGCCTGTCATTTTGTAAAAAGAGCACTAGGTTTAAGACTCCGAACAGTTCCAGCTTTGCTACCTATTGGCTGTGCAACTTTGGGCAAAACATTTACCTCCTCTGGGCTCTTTGAGTCCTTGCAGGTGGGGTGGGAACATCCTCTCAGGTGGGGTGGGAACACCCTGGCAGGTGGGGTGGGAACACCGCGGGAGGATCGTGGATATGCGCTATCAGGGGAAAAAGCGCTTTGCGGGCTGCGTGGGGATGGGAGCCGGGCAGGGATGCCGTCCCCATGGTCTTCAAAAGCTGCAAAGCGGGAGGGTCATTAGACAGGAAGGTTGCTCTGGCCAGTGTATCTCAGGTGGGTCTCGGGGAAGCTACGGGCTCGCAAAGGCTCAGAATCCGCATGGGCACGTGTGACTCAGGCTGAGGGGCGCAATGCAGGACTTTGCCCGCAGAGCAGGGAGGTGCTTCCGGGGGCCAATCCCTGCGAGGCAGTTTCAACACTCCCTTCCCAGGCGGGCCTGCAGCCTGTTTGTAAAAAGCGTGTGCAGGGGCCAAGGCTAGGGCGGCTGGGACGGCAGCCTGGCACCCCCCCCCGCCGCTTCCGAGCCACCCGGAGGCCAGCGCCCAGAGGAGCCGAGCAGGAGAGCGAGGCTGCGGCTGTGGGCGCTGTGCAGACTCGCTCAGGGCAGAGGGCGGAGGGAGGAGGCAGGGGGGAGGCGCTGGGAGCGGAGGCCCCACCTTTCATTCCAGCAAAGTGCACCCGCGGAGCAGGGATGAGTCACAGGCGCGGGCGCTCGGGTTCCCACAGGTGAGGGGCTGCCTCGCTCCGGACCACGCAGGTGCCCGCTCGGGAGTGGCCTGGCAGGGGGCTGCAGCCCTCCGTCTGCCCGTCTGGCCTGGGGGCCAGGGCTGGGCTTCCTCATGTATGGCCGGAGCCTCCCGCGCGCGGCGCTGCTCCTGCTGGGCATACAGCTCACAGGTAAGGGCCGGGAAGCGGGGGAGCGGGGCGGGGGGCTCCCGCAGCACCCCCCTCACCGCCCAGCCCGTGAAGGGAGCCAATTGTCTCGGAAGGAGCCAGAGTTTTCCTCTGGAGCCTGAACCTCAGCGGCAGCCACTTTGGGGTGGACTTTACTGAAACCGAAGTCAGTGGGTACTTGGAGGAAGGGCTTTTGGACAAACAGGTTTCGGTGAGACTCGGCTGCCAGCCGGGCACAGAGAGGGTTTTCAAATCTCAGGTTACCAACCATTTTCCTGCCGCTGCTTCACCTCCTCTCAGGTGGGGCTTGGGCAGGCCTCCTGTGGGTCGGGTCTGGGCCGCCGGGAGCCGGGGGCAGCGCTGGGGAGCCGCACTGTGCGGGGAGGCCAGGTGGTCTGAGCGTGACCATCATGCCGAGGGGGCCGCGGGTGTGGAGCGTCAGGGGCCCGGCCAGCACGAACCGTCTGGCCTTGAACTTAATTTCTGCAGAAGACATAGCAAGGGCCCCTCTGGACAACTCCCTGCTCAAGGACCGTCACAGACAGCACATACCACTGCACTCGAACCCTCGTCCAATGCATGTTCGGATCTGTGCAGACTTCTCGGTTTCTGCTTTCCTTTTGATTTGCCGATGGCTGAGGTTTCTCCTGACAGTTTGAAGTGGGTGTCATGCCAGCAGGCAGGCGGGTGGAGAAAGTTGAGGAGGCCTCTCAGCTCTGCTCTGCGCCCGCTCACAGGGGACTTTGGCGGAGGCAGCAGCTCTCTGCTCCTGCCTGTTGACCCTTCTTCCTCCTGCTCCCTTCTCAGCTCTTGGGCCCGGAGCCGCCGTGGAAATTTACACGTCCCGGGTGCTGGAGGCTGTGAACGGCACGGACGTCCGGCTGAAGTGCACTTTCTCCAGCTTCGCCCCCGTGGGCGATGCCCTGACCGTGACCTGGAATTTCCGCCCCCAGGATGGGGGCTCTGAGCAGTTTGTAAGTGATGGGCGTCATTTTCTCGGGGATCTGGGTTAGGAAAACAAGCCGGTCTGCTTCTCCTGGCCCTTCCTGTGTCTGTTCATTTTTTAAATTTTTTAATATATTTTTATTGATTTCAGAGAGGGAGAGAGAGAGAGAGAGAGAGAAGCATCAAAAATAAGAGAGAATTGCCGAAACCGGTTTGGCTCAGTGGATAGAGTGTCGGCCTGAGGACTGAAGGGTCCCAGGTTCAATTCCGGTCAAGGGCATGTACCTCGGTTGCGGGTACATCCCCAGTAGGAGATGTGCAGAAGGCAGCTGATCGATGTTTCTCTCTCATCGATGTTTCTAACTCTCTATCTCTCTCCCTTCCTCTCTGTAAAAAATCAATAAAATATATTTTTTAAAAAATGAGAGAGAATCATGGATTGGCTGCCTCCTGCACACCCCACACTGGGGATTGAGCCCTCAACCCAGGTGTGCGCCCTGACCGGGAATCGAACCTGGGACCCTTCGGTCTGCAGGCCCATGCTCCAACCACTGAGCCACACCGGCCAGGGCCAGTTATGTATTTATTAGAGTTTTAGCAACGAGCGCAAGGCAGGGCTGGGAAGCAGTTCCCGGGACAGAGGCCGCTGGCAGGGAGAGCCGGGAGGTCCTGCTGAGCGCCGCGTGCCGCGAGGCTGGCGGGGCCTCTTCTGCTTCCCCCACACCCCCAGCCCTGGCCCTGAGGAAGACCTTTGCCATTTCTCCTCCCCAGGTTTTCTACTACCACATGCACCCCTTCCAACCCATGAGCGGACGGTTCAAGGACCGGGTGTTCTGGGACGGGAACCCTGAGCGGTATGACGCCTCCATCATGCTCTGGAAGCTGCGGTTCGACGACAACGGGACGTACACCTGCCAGGTGAAGAACCCGCCCGACGTGGACGGGCTCGTCGGGGAGGTCCGGCTCAGCGTCGTGCAGACCGGTAGGTGCCGCTGGGGAAGGGTTTGAGGAAGCCTGGGAGCTTGTGGAAAAGAGAGGGCAGCCCTAGCCGGTGTGGCTCACTGGATAGAACTGAAGGCTCCCAGGTTGGATTCCGGTCAAGAGTGCGTGCCCGGGATGTGGGCTCGATCCTCAGTGTGGGGACTGTAGGAGGCAGCTGATCAATGATTCTCTCTCATCATTGATGTTTCCCTCTCTCTCTCTCCCTCTCCTTTCCTCTCTCTGAAATCGATAAAAATAAAGAAAATAAAAATGATTAAAAAGAAAAGAAAAGAAAGGGGCCATCTTTCGTGGTGGCTGAAAGTGTAGAGAGAAGGATGAGCCCTTTCAATCTGGAAGCTACGGAGGGAGCGTGAGGAATCCTGGGGTGAAAGAGAAAGGCTTTGTTTGTGGGGAGAAACAGAAAGGAAAGCAGGGATCCGAGGAAGCTGCTACAAAGTGGCGTGCGACCGCGGGGGAGAGGAAGCAACTTCCTGGTAAAGGGTAGCCGCGGTCTGTCCGTCCGGCCACTTCCGCCCAGGAGGTGAGCGAGTGCCTGCGGGCCCCGCCATCCGTGCTGGAGGCGCTGTCTCCGGGTCCTCACAGCCCACCTCGCCGCAGACGCCCATCAGGGGCCCTGTTTTACCGAATGGTGTCGGGGCTTTGCACATCGTATTTAATGTTCACGTATCCCGTCAGTTCATTGTGTTCTTGGTGTCCCCCACCCCCATTTTACTAACGAGGACACTGAGGCTCACAGAGGTGAGGTCACTTGTCCACAGTCACGGAGCTGGTGGGTGGGGCACCTTTGGCTCCAGAATGATGCTCCCAACAACGGCATTGCATCGTCTGCGCATTGTCTGCGTCCCATGACCCAGCCCGGCCAGCGGTGCCGGGTAACAGAGCAAAGACTGCGGCACTGCAGCTGTAGGTGAATCATTTCCCTCCAGGCAAGTGAGAACAATAGAGCGAGGATTAGGGCAGGGGTGGGCAAACTTTTTGTGAGTGCGTGCCAAAACCAGCAAAATCTCTGACTCAAAATTCTTCTGCGTGCCAACCCTAATTTTTTGAGAACCTGTTATGCCTACTTGATATCTCTCAAGGTGTACATATGTGAAGAACCTTGAAGAAATAATAAAATTCATTCGAGCAACAAAAACAGTATATGATGATGAAAAATACATTCATTTTTTAATGTCTACATGTACACTGATAGTCCGACAGAAAACTTTATGACTCCGTTTGATATTATCAGTGGGACTTGCTGCTGCATCACTGATGACAGATTTTACATCAGGTTTACATTTCGTGACCTTCAGAGATATGCACGAGCTACTACTTTCATCCGTCAGGCTGTTCCTATTATGAGACTTAACAAAATTCATCACTGAGAACAAAGATTCACAATTGTAAATGGGAGATTATAAGAGAAGGATTCACGTGCCAGCAAAAGTCACTGGCATGCCATGTTTGGCACTCGTGCCAGGGGTTGCCCATCCCTGGATTAGGGTGAGGATAAAATGAGATAACAAATGTAAAAAGTCCCCAAACTCTGAATCATACTGAAAATTATAGTCGTTACCATATGCTGATTGTTTACTACGTGGAGGCACAGCAGGGAACAATTTAAATGAACAATTTTATTTTTAGTAAGAACTCAAGAAATGGGTATTGTTATGTCTACTTTATACATGGCGGAAATAGGTGCTCAAGGAAGTTAATTACCCTAATCGCACAGCTAGTAAGTGGGGGAGCTGGTATGTAACCAAGCTTTCTCTGCTGTGTGCTCTGAACTAACACAGTATCACTGCCCTGTAAAGTGGTGTGATTTCCTCCTTCCCGCCCCAGCACCGGCCTCCAGGCCCTGTTAGGAGAGAGCTGTGCGGCTGGAGAAGTAATCTGCATGCTGGAAGGAGTAATATCCTATCCTTGGACCTGTTTCTTCCTCTGCAAACCGAACAGATTAGACAGGACACATGGTTCTTAAACATACCAGGTCACCGCTCTGAGATCTAACAAAAGCCGTGGCCGGGCGCCCACAGAGAATGCACACACACAGTGAGCCATGGTCCTGCGTCCACAGAGAATGCACACACACAGTGAGCCGTGGCCTTGTGTCCACAGAGAATGCACACACACAGTGACAGAAAGGGTTGGTACATTAGGTCTTTGGTTGAAAGCAACAGAAGTCAACTGTGGCTATTTATTTATTTTTTCCCCTAGAATGCACACACACAGTGAGCCGTGGCCCTGCGTCTACAGAGAATGCACACACACAGTAAGCCGTGGCCCTGCATCCCACAGAGAATGCACACACACAGTGAGCCGTGGCCCTGTGTCCCCAGAGAATGCACACACACAGTGAGCCGTGGCCCTGTGTCCCCAGAGAATGCACACACACAGTGAGCCGTGGCCCTGTGTCCCCAGAGAATGCACACACACAGTGAGCCGTGGCCCTGTGTCCCCAGAGAATGCACACACACAGTGAGCCGTGGCCCTGTGTCCCCAGAGAATGCACACACACAGTGAGCCGTGGCCCTGTGTCCCCAGAGAATGCACACACACAGTGAGCCGTGGCCCTGTGTCCCCAGAGAATGCACACACACAGTGAGCCGTGGCCCTGTGTCCACAGAGAATGCACACACACAGTGAGCCGTGGCCCCGTGTCCACAGAGAATGCACACACACAGTGAGCCGTGGCCCTGCGACCACAGAGAATGCATACACACAGTAAGCCGTGGACTCCAGGCTGGGAGCCCCCGAGCTAGACATCTCTACTGTCCTTGCTGGTTCTGAGGGTTTATTGAATTTTAAATCAGAAATCAAGCCCTAGATGGTTTGGCTCAGTGGATACAGCATCGGCCTGCGGACCAAAGGGTCCCTGGTTCGATTCTGGTCAAGGGCATGTATCTCGGCTGCAGGCTCCTCCCTGGCCTGGGATCGATGTGTTTCTCTCACACTGGTATTTCTTTCTGTCTTTCCCTCTCTCTAAAAATCAATGGAAAAATATCCCGGGTGAGGATTAAAAGAAAGAAAAAAAGAAAGACAGAGACCCAGATGTCACAGGCGCGAGGTCCCTGGTTTAGGGACCCTGACCTGTGGGGTTCCTCTTGCATCATTCGCCCGCTAGACTGTCAGTCCTGTGCCACATGATGATGCTTCGGTCACAATGGACCACATGTGCAGTGGCGGTCATACAGTGACCACAGAGCCGAACAATCCCCGCCCCCCAGCGGCGCTGTAGCCATTCACATCACAGCTCAGAGGTGGTGAGGAACAGGGATGTGGTTGCGATGGGGAACGTTAGCCTCAGCGTGATGAGGGCCACCCGGAGCACCTGGCCTGGCTCCCAAGGGACGGACGGATGGGGAGGGGCTGGATTGGCACAGCGGGCACGGCTGCAGAGGAGGCAAAGGAAGGAAACTGCCGGGCAAGAATAAGGCCGCAGGAAAACGCACCGGAAGCTTAGCAGGAGCCTCTGCAGCCTCAATAAGCTCCTTAAAAAGCTGGGAAACGTGGGCCTGCCTGGTGGCCGGGTGCTTGGGCGTGGTCCCAGGCATCAAGGGTCTCGGGGATGATTCCCAATCAGGGCAGGTACCCAGGTTGCGGGCTTGACCCCTGGTGGTGGGCGTGCAGCAGGCAGCCGCTTGATGCTGCACTCTCCAATCAATGGTTTTCCCTCCCCCCCCCTCTAAAATTCAATAAACTATTCTTTTAAAACATTTAAAAAATATTTTTATTGATTTCAGAGAGGAAGGGAGAGGGAGAGAGAGATAGAAACATCAATGATGAGAGAGTCATTGATCAGCTGCCTCCTGTGCTCCAACTCCTGGGGCTCAGAGGCCACAACCCAGACAGAATCGAGCCGTGACCTCCTGGTTCATTGGTTGATGTTCAACCACGGAGCCACACCGGCCGGGCTTTTATAGCATGTTTTCATTGTACCTTTTCCATGGGTAGATATGTTTCTATGCACAAATACCACTGTGTTACAACTGCCTACGGCATTCAGACAGTGACATGCCGGCCAGGGCTGTAGCCTGGGAGCAGGGGGCTGCGCAGGCAGCCGAGGTGTGTAAGGCGCTCTAGGATGTCTGCACAGTGACAACATTGCCTACCGAGGCCGTTCTCAGAACGCGGCCTGTTGTTAACGATGCACAAGTGTAGTCACTGATTGACCCATCTGTATTCCCAGGCGTGTGAGTTCCCTGAAGGTTATGTCAGTTTCTGGCTTGGTGTTTCCATCAGTGCCTGGAACATGGTAGGCCCTTCACACATCGGAATAAACGACTGACTGAGTGGCAGAGGGACTGGGGGAGAAAGGTTTGGGCCCTCGATGGGACTAGGTCAGCAATAATCTTACTCAACCGGCCCAGTGGTGCTCACAGGTTAGCGGGCATCATCACCTGCAGGGACTGTCAGAGCAAATGGCCAGCCCCACCTGCAATTCAGTGGGTCTGGGACGGGGCCTGGTCATTTGTGTTTCAAAGTTCCGTTGCTGGTCCTCCTGGGACACAGTCTGAGAACCACCAAAGGAGAATGTCGGCTTTCCTGTGCTACTAGAGTTTACAAGGTAACACGGTAGGTGAACGATTCCACTTAATGACAAAAGTACATCCCGTCTGCTGGCGGGGCTCAGTGGTTGAACGTTGACCTCTGAACCAAGAGGTCATGGTCCGATTCTGGTCAAGGGCACATGCCCGGGTTGTGGCTTGATCCCCAGTAGGGGTTATGCAGGAGGCAGCCAGTCAATGATTCTCTCTCATCGTTGATGTTTCTATCTCTCACTCCCTCTCCCTTCCTCTCTGAAATCAATAAAAAATTTTTAAAAAGTGCATCCCTATTGTACCTTTAGCTGACATCACAATCCTCCACTGTTAGAGAACCCTAACCGGACCGTTTTTCTCTCCCCAGTGCGCTTCTCCGAGATGTACTTCCTGGCCCTGGCCATTGGCTCCGCCTGCGCCCTGATGGTCATCATAGTGATCGGGGTGGTCCTCTTCCAGCATTTCCGCAAACGGCGGTGGGCCGCGAGGGCCCACAAGGTGGTGGAGATCACACCGTAAGGCTGGGAGCCCAGGCCATCTCCTCCTCTCCCGTGGGTGGCACCTGGCGCTTACGGGGAGGCTAGTCACTGGGGAGCGGCGCTCTGCCCTCTGAGTGCATCTTAGGGGAAAGGTTCAGGTTCACAGGATGAGCACGTTAGGGTGGATTAGGGACTGTACAAAAGGCTTTTGGTTTTACAGATTTCAGGATGGCCTTTCTCTATGATGGCGGATTTGATATTGAAATCTGTTCCATCAGATGGGTATAAGGTTTATCGGGAGGTTCACTTAGCAAGTTACATAATGGCTAACTGGGGTGTGCACCTGAAACTAATATAATATTGTATAAGAAACTCATATCTGTTAGACAAAGCTTTTTTAGCGCACTCCTGCCCTGGCCAGTGTGCTCAGTGGTTACAGTATTGCCCTGTGCACCTAAGGGTCCAGCGTTCAATTCCCAGTCAAGAGTATGTACCTGGGTTGCAGGTTCAATCCCTGGCCCTGGTCGGTGCACTTGGGGGAGGCAACTAATTGATGTGTCTCTCTCTCAGACCCTTGTTGTTTTTCTCTCTCTCTCTTCCCCTCCCTCATTCCCTTCCACTCTCTCTCTAAAAAAATCAATGAAAAAAAATATCCCTGGGTGAGGATTAACCAAAACAGAAAAAAGAAAAAAAAGAAAAAGAAAAAAAGAATAGTCCTTACTTTTAATGTAAAGCATACATTTCTAAGAACCACTGGGCGGGCAGCAGGGTCACTGTGAATCAGTACCTAGGGAAGTCAGCCATGCTGCTATTAGGTGCTCAATAAATATTTTTTTATAGAGATAAAATTTACAAACTATAAAATTCACCCTTTTAATATTCCATAGTCACCACTAATTCCAGAATATATTCATCACTCACAAAAGACACCCCACACCCTCTTGCTGTCACTCCCTCCATCCCCCTCTCACCGGCCCCTGCCTACGCTGCTCTCTGTCTCCGTGGATTGGCCTGTTTGGGATGTTTCCTATAAATAGAATCATACAATATGTGGCCTTTGTGTCTGGATTCTTTTACTTATTATAGGATTTTCAAAGCTCATTCATGTTATAGCATGTAGTAGCACTTCATTCCACTCTGTGTATATATCACATTTTGTTTATCCATTTAATTGATGGACATTTAGGTTTCCTCTACTTTTTGGCTACTATCACTAATGCTGCTATGAACATATGTCTATAAATTTGTGTGTAGACATGTTTCCTTTTTTAAAAAATTTAAATTCTTTATTGTTGAAAGTACTACATATGACTCCCTTCCCCCCATTGACCTTTCCCTGGCCACTCCCGCCTAGACATATGTTTTCAATTCTTCTGGGTATATACCTAGGAGTGAAATTGCTAAAATACTTGGTAATTCTATGTTTACCTTTTCCAGGTATTCCCAGACTATTTTCCAAAACAGATGCACCATGTTACATCCCACCGGCAATGTATGAGGATTCCAGTTTGTTCACATCATTGACAACACTTACTATTGTCTGTCCTTCTGATTATAGCCATAGTGGATGTCAAGTTGTTTCTCATTGAGGTGGTTTTTAAAATTTTTTACTTATTGATTTGAGTGAGAGAGAGAAGAAGAGAGAAGAAGAAGAGAGAGATATTTGTTGTTCCACTTGTTTATGCATTCATTGGTTGCATTTGTATGTGTTCTGACTGGGGCTTGAACTGCCGACCCTGGTGTATATAGGAAGATGCTCTAACTAACTGAGATACCTGGTCAGGGCTCATTGAGGTTTTGATTTGTATTTTCCTAATGACTAATGATGCCGAACATCTTTCCATGTATTTATTGGCCATTTGTATATCTTTTTGGAGATATATCTATTCAAATGTTTTGCTTATTTAAAAATTGGGTTGTCTTTTTGTTGTTGAGCTGTAAGAGCTCCTTATATATTTTAGAATATCTAAAAGTGCTTTATTAGATGTATGATTGCAATGATTTTCTCTCATTCTGTGGGTTGTCTTTTCACTTTCTTCACAGTGTCTTTTGAAGCACAAAAGTTTAAAATTTTGATGAAGTCCAATTTATCAATTTTTTTCTTTTGTTGCTTATGTTATTGGTATTGTAGCTAAGATACCATTGCTTAACCCAACATGATGAAGATTTGTGATTATGGTTTCTTCTAAGAGTTTTACAGTTTTAGTTCTTACATTTAGGCCTTTGATTAATTTAGAGTTAATTTTTGTAGATGGTGTGAAGTAGGAGTCCAAATTCATTCCTTTGCACAGGTTGCAGTTTTTTGGTACTCCCAGCACCATTTGCTTCCTTTCCTTGAGAAATATTTACTGAAATAAATAGAATTGATTTTAAGGAGCTTAACGAACTCACCTCTGAGGTTCTGGTTTAACCCTTCGAGTGCCAACCAATATCCTAGGAACTATGCTAAAATTGCCAAGGCATTTTGAGTTAAGGTTTTAAATTTTTTTTTTTCCCCACATAAAGAGTGAACTACTACCATCTAATGGTGACACTGCAGGAGGAGCGAGATCGCACTCCCCAGCACTCTAGGGGTTAAACTGAATATACTAGTAATGAATAAAGATGACTTCTAGGTTAACACAAAACTTTTTCTGTCTTTTTAAAATTTTTCAAATACAATTTACTTTCAATATTATTTTGTATTGGTTTCAGGGGTACAATGTAGTGGCTAGACCAGCCGTGGGCAAACTACAGCCCGCGGGCCGGATCTGGCCCATTTGAAATGAATAAAACTAAAAAAAAAAAAAAAAAAAAGACCATACTCTTTTATGTAATGATGTTTACTTTGAATTTATATTAGTTCACACAAACACTCCATCCATGCTTTTGTTCCAGCCCTCCGGTCCAGTTTAAAAACCCACTGTGGCCCTCGAGTCAAAAAGTTTGCCCACCCCTGGGCTAGACATCATATACTTCACACGGTGTTCCCCTCGATAGGCAGTACCCATCTGGCCCCATATGTAGTCATTGACTGTATTCTCTATGCTCTACATCACACCCCCTTGATTATTTTGTAACTACCAATTTGTACTTAATTCTTTCACCTCCTTCCCTACCCTCAACCTTTTTCTATTTTGAATAAGGAGTAGAATTAGAGGTAAGATACCAACAGTAAACTGAAGTGTCTGCTTTAAATCCCTGGAGTTCCCTAGTTATATGGCTCCCTTCTACAAATATTCTGGGAAGTGTCTGAGTTCAGACACCCAGGGTCATGGGAAGGCACTGAGTGTGAGAGGTGAGACGGCACTGGTGCCCTGGCTCTCTGGAAGCTGGGCTCTATATCCAGGCGCATGTAATTCTCCCCAGAATGTGGGGAAGGATGCCTTGCCCGAAGCTATGTAAGATTCGCCTCCCTTGCTCTGGTCTTGTTGGCTTGACATTGGTTTCTGCTTCTTTCTTACAGAAAAGAAGAAGAAAGACTCAACCAAGAGAAGAAGGTCGCGGTTTACCTGGAAGACACAGACTAACGTTCCTCAACGGTGAGGTCGCAGATGGTTCCCTTCTTCCCTCAGCTCTCCCGTCTGGCTCGTCTCGAATGTGGGTCTCCCCGATGACATGGCTGTTAAGTGGAGGTCAAAGTCTGCGTTACAGACGGCTTCTCCTCTGAGTGTGATTTGTGCAAAGTCTTAGGAAGCCAGGCGGTTAAACTGAGAGAATTCTAAGATTTGAGAATTCTTTATTTAAGAATAACAAATTAACTTTCAACATGTAAATAAATATACTTTTATTGATTGGTGAGAGAGAGAGAGAGAGAGAGAGAGAGGGAGAGAGAGAGAGAAAGGGAGAGATCGGTGTGTGTCCTACTCATTTATGCCTCATTGGTTGACCCTTGAATGTGTCCTGACTGGGGATGAACCTGAAACCTCGGGGTCAGGATGACACTCTAACCAACTGAGCTACCAGCCAGGTTCTAATATTGCTTTTAAAAAGATAGGCCCGACGTTTTGACAGAACTATTCAGTTCCTCTCATTTAGTTACTGGGACCATGAATCCAGTTTTAATAGTGTGTGATTTTATTTTTCTAGTTTTCAGGTTTATCAGGCTTGAAAGATAGGATTATTTTTTTAAAAAATATATATATATTATTGATTTTTTACAGAGAGGAAGGGAGAGGGATAGAGAGTTAGAAACATCGATGAGAGAGAAACATCGATCAGCTGCCTCCTGCACGCCCCCTACTGGGGATGTGCCCGCAACCCAGGTACATGCCCTTGACCAGAATCGAACCTGGGACCCTTCAGTCCGCAGGCCAATGCTCTATCCACTGAGCCAAACCGGTTAGGGCGATTTATTTTTTTATATGATCAGAATTTCTTCTATTCTCTGAAGTAGGTCCACTATTATTATTTGTAAAAAGAGTCACATTTTTATAGCCCGAGACTCCGGTGAAAGTGCCTTCAGGATCTATAAAATAGACTATGGAGAGAAGCGATTCCATCGTGAACCCAGAAAGACGAATTTGGTATCAGAGAGATTTTGCCAAAGGCTATTTTCTTCTTTTAATCAAGCAGGTTCTCCAACATGCGGGTCATGGAAAAAAGATGGGGCTCTTCTATATTCAAAGAAATGTAACGAGCTAACACAGTCAAGTGCAATGTGTGGTCCCTGACTGGATGGCACTAGTTTGAACAAACTAGTTGTAAAAAGATTTGGGGGACAATTAGGAGTCTTGAATATGAAAAATTTGAATATGGATATTAGGAAATTATTATTAATTTTTATTAGGTATAATAAGGGTGTTGTGGTTATATAGGAAAATGTTTCTATTCTAAAAATGCATATTGGAATATTTGTCGGAAAAAATGTCAGCCAAAAAATATTTAAGTAAGGCAAAATGCTTTAAGATTAGGTGATGGGTGAATGCCTCTTACCTACTTTTCTGTTTGTTTGATTTTGCTTCCAATTAAAGGAAGAGAGGGAGGGAGGGCGGGAAAGAGAGGTTTAAGAGAGGAGAAATGTGTGTGTGAGTGAGTACAGATCACCAAGTGTCCACAGGAGGCAGAGGCGATGAATTAAGGACACTGACTGAGAATAAGAATCAGGAAACGTCTTTTAAAAGTGAAATTAGGGGAGAATAAATGCATTTAAGAATATTTTCATTCACAATGGAGAACAGGTCTATCAATATGTATATACAGTAAAACCGCGATGTAACAGACTATTTGGGGGTGTCCGGTAAAGCCCCAAGTCCCTTATATGAGAAGGTAGGTTTTCCCAATTCATATGCTACAAAATGGACAAATTCGATAGTTTACCACCTGTTTTTACGTATGTGGACACATTTGTGTCATTAGAATCATGTAGAAGAGGTTTAACTTCACAGAGAAGGTTTCTATTTGTGTGCTGCAACTTTAAGTTTATGCTGAAGGGGCCTGGTGAGTGCCTGCGGGCGTGCACCCGTCATGGGTCACCGAGAAGGCGAGCACCGCGCTGGGCACCGGGGACGGTGGTCTGGTTGGCGGCTGCCGCCGGGACCACAGCAGCCATGCCCGGTGCGGACCGTGCGGCGGCCGGCCGTTCCCTACTTTGTCTACCAGCAGCGGCTCTGCATTTAAACGCTGGGCTGTGGTTGCAGACACTGCAGAAATAGTTATTCATGTTTTTTCCAACATGTGGCCACTCACGAAAATTTGTTAAAAACAACAGTGAATTGATAACAACAACAACAAAAAACCAACCTGTTAGTTTAATTATACGCAAATCTTGGTTAAAAGCACTTTAATATCAACAGGTATTCATGTTCCCATGTGACACACGGACAGCGTTCTGTCCGTGAAAACCCCTTCCCCGGCAGAAACGTGTATACTCGTTTTCACAAAATGTTCTTTTTCAGTCGTCGACGAGTATACTAAGAAAATATGGTAAAAAAATATGGTTTATAGGAAGACGAGTTACAAACTGTTTTCATAACCAGCATCAAAAATATTATATAGAACCAAAATAAAAAAATTAGTCTGAAAAAGAAACGTTTTTAACAAAAAAATTGTTGGGGAAGAGGTTAAACCCAGTCTGTTAAATGGAGGCTCGCAGAGTCCACCGGCCGGGGGTCCCGGCGCCCCCTCCCCAAGGGCATGGTCCACAGAAGCTTTGTGTTTCAGGAGGCGGAGGAGGCCACGACCCCAGGAGGAGCCGAAGTGGAGGGAAGCTTGTCGCTGGCCCTTCCGTGGTGACCTGTTTCCGACCAGCTCTGCCCATGACCACCCAGACCAGCACCCGAGCCTTCCCGGGGAGACACGGCCAAAGCACCCCTCGCTGAGGACCTCTCCCTGTTAGTTACGGGAGCAGCTCCACGTGAGCGTCTGCGCCCTGGAAGCAGCGCTCTGGCCCGAGCAGCCCTCGGGGACGATGACTCTGCACCCCTGGCAGCGCCTGGAGGAGGCCCCGTCCACCAGGCATTTCCTGTACCTGCGCTCCGGGAGCAGCGCTCCTGCTGCTGGAGACGATGGGTTCACCCGTCCTCCCTCGCAGCGACGCGAAGCGGGCGAACCTCCCAGCTGTTTCTGGAACACAAAGCCCATCGTTCAGCGGCGCTCCTTTAATCTGGGACACATCTGACCGTATGACCCTCCTTTCCATATCCCAAATGGTAGTTTTTCCCTATTTTTGTCAATTGATCAAAAGTTTCCCAGAGAGCACCGTCTAAATCAGAGCCCCTAAGGGAAGGTTCCGTAGTGCTAACAGGTGACAAATGCCACTCTGGGTGAACTGCTCGTCACCGGCGCCTTTTGTCTGTTTTGTGAAAAGCCATTGACAGCCATTGACAGCGACAGCGCAGGTCTTTCAGAGCAGTGACCTGTCCCCGGCCCCTCCCCGCCTCTATGACCTGTAACAACAGAGCAAACTATGCTCATTCGTTTGTAGCCGGGGTCATCAAGCAGCTAAATAGAAGAATTCTGAAATGGTATTTTGTGACTTTAGAAATTTAGGGCAGGTGAAAAAAATCAACCCTAAATGATGGTCATTTTGTTCAATGGTACACAAAGCTCTGAGAACTGGAAGAGGTTACTTACTTTTTTCTTTCTTTTTTTAAAAATTCACTTGTTCTGGGGGAGAATTTGGTGTGGGGCAAAGAAATGCCAACATTAACAGAATGAAATCAACTTTATTCTTTTTTTCTCTTATACTATCTTAATAGATAAAAGAAACGTTATAAATGAGCTATGAAAAAAAAGAGAGCTTTTAAAAAAGTGTCTAGTTTTCTGGCTTATTTCCAAACTTAAGCTATAGCAGCAGTTAGTCAGAAGGCAGGAAACATCTAAAAGTTTAGGCTTCCCCGAAATCTTTACAACGTGGTATGTTCAGTTTTCACTGCCTGGGCTAAAGACGTTATTTCTTTTAATAAACTGGAATTTTCAAATAGATGATCTGTATTTAAAGATACTGAATGAAAGGTTAAACGCGGTGGTGGGCAGGCAGGCAAAACGGCCATCTCAGACGGTGAATAAAGACAGATGGAATTTCTTTAAGGGAAACGGGCTGGCGGTGGGGATGTCCGAAGGGAAGGGCTGCACAGCACTGAGCCAAAGGGTACAGGGCCCATGATGGCAGCGAAATGGACTCAGGACAGTGAAGCAAGGAAGGCAGAGAAGCAACAGGAGAGTCCAGGCTGCGCTGCTCTGCTCACTGGGAGGTCAGAGCACAGGGGGCCTGGAGACAGGGTCAGGGGTGAGTCCCGGACGACCTGTCACTGCCCATCGCTCCCCTGGTTCCCAGTCTCATGAGGTGGGGGATAGTGCCTGTGAGGGGATGGCGGGGGCGTGCTCCTTGGAGGGAGAGTGCACACGGGGTCCTTTGCTCTGAGCATAGTTCTCTCTCTCTTGCAGGTGGGAATCTTAGGGGAGGGCTCAGGGCCTTAGTAGAATATTCATTAGCTTCCCAGGTGAGCACTTTTCAGTTTCCAGGGTGGGGGTGGGGTGGGGTTCATTAGTCAATGTGGCTGGACCTGAGGCAGCCATGGTGCCACTTGTCTGGTTTTGCTGTTTTTCTGGGCCTGGAGCCAAAAGGCAACTGAGGCCTCGATGTTATCTCTAGGGAGGGAAGGTCGGGGTCTAAACCGCCTCACCAGGCATATGAGAGATCGGGGTCCAAACCGCAGGACCAGTGATGTGGGAGGGGAGGAGAGGTCACCCTGGGGGCGAGGCGCTTGTTTTCCCAGCTTGGCCCCTTGCTGGGATCCTGGAGTGTTCTGCACCTGGCCCTTCGTCCTTGCTCTGCTCATGTCTAACACTGAACTTGGATATTTTCCCCCAAGAGTTCTTAAATAAATTGGTGTAATTTACATACAAACCTTGATTCACAAATACATTCCATACCTGTCTGGTTTTGCCCGTTACACTGACAAAGTAAAGTTTCAATACCCAGTTTTGAAACTAAGAATTAGATTTAGAGTCAATATTATTTTTAATTCACATTTTCTATTTTTTCTTCATGATTCACCCTTTTAAAATATAAACACTGATGTTTCTTCAGACCGATGGCCTGGATGATGTCCCACAGTATAATGAAAAAGTAGTTACAAACTCAGGGAATGGGTTTCAGCAGAACTTGCAGCTGTGTCTTGGCCAAATACCCAGTTATTCAGTGTCTTCTTCCAAACAGAACTTCTGTGATTTATAATTTTCTTCTGCCTTAAACATTTATGTAAATAACCTTTAGCAATAAAGATTTATCAGTTATACAATTGGCTTTATATATACATCTAAATTTTAAGTAGCAGGTAACAGAAAACAGACGGATATGTATTTCATCTTCACTGGAAATTTTCTTCCTGGCAGCCTGGAAGTTAATAATGGGCAGATTAATGTCTACTGGGGAAATAAACTGATGCGGAGTTTCGCAGAATTTTCACATTGCCGTGGACAACTCAGAATCCGGCACAACAAACTACCTAGTTGGGGATTCTTTTGTGAGAAACGCTCACCTGTCTGAATTCAGATAACAGACTTGGAGACAGAAGAATAGCAAAAAATGAGACTTTTAAAGATCGGGTGTGTGGTTGAGCAGGCACCCTGCGAGCGTGGATCCCAGGCCGTTTATCCCTAGTCCCGGAGCCCCTCCCCTGGTTGCTCGTTGGCTGAGTACTATGGGGTTAGCAGTCCCCCCCCCCCCCCAACCTTGCCTAGGTCTTATTGTCTCCTATTGGATTATTTTTTAAAATGGGCTGAGGCCTTTTCTAGTTGTCTCCACCTCCCCTTGTCTAGCTGTGGAGGGCAGATCTCCCTGTAAAATGTGCTGCTGGTCTGCACACGGTTTTTTATGCTCATACCCTTTCCCCTCCTCCCTATATCCTTTGCTCCGCCTCCCCCGAACCCCCACCCTGAAAATTCAGTAACAACTGGCAACATGCTGCTAGTTTTCTGCACTAAAAGCTGGCTTTGCTGGAGACGGACCGCAGAGGCCTATTTCCTGTACTTTCAAGGGCATGTATCAGCCATTCCATTTGGGACTCTTTCATTAGCTTCTTAAAGGTGAAAACCACCAGTTTTCATGCAGTGGTTATCAACCTTAGCTGCACATTAGCATCACCTGGGAATCTTTTTAAAATCCTGATTTCTGGGCCCCATCCTCCGGAAATTCTGTTTCTTTCGTACTAATGTTGTGGCCCCACCCCATAACAAAGAAACGGAATTTCTGGAGGATGAGGCCCAGAAATCAGGATTTTAAAAAGATTCCCAGGTGACTCTAACGTGCAGCCAAGGTTGAGAACCACTGTACTAGAGGAATGAGAGTTGAAAAATGGAAAGTTATGACATTTCCCCCAAAGCTGAACAGAGTTCAGTTCCCCTCTTGCTTTCATTCAATATCCTGAGATGCAGGGTTGACTAGTGATGAGAGCAGGTACCGTCTATTTCTTTCTCAGAACGTGAGGCCGTCTCTTCACTTCATGGCAAGCTCTGTGAAAACCTTACCTCTTCATCGTCCCAGAGAAGGGACAAACATCAGTGTCTTCCCGCCCCCTCATGCTGTAATGGTTTAATCCAGCGGTTCTCAACCTTCCTAATGCCGCGACCCTTTAATACAGCTCCTCATGTTGTGGTGACCCCCAATTTCATTGTTACAAATTGGACATAATTAAAGCATAGTGATTCATCACAAAAACAATATGTAATTATATATGTGTTTTCTGATGGTCTTAGGCGACCCCTGTGAAAGGGTCCTTCGACCCCCAAAGGATTGACCCACAGGTTGAGAACTGCTGTCACTGCACCGTCAACAGCACTTTAATAAACACCAATTCAAGCAGGTGCTGACTTGGTGACCTAGCAGCTTCACCTAAAGGTGCTGTCACCGCGCAGGCCCAGCACATCGGTTCTGATCCGATCCCAGGTTATCTCTGAGCTGTCACAGAAGTCTGTCCTGGGGCACTGAGATGGGCACTCGGATGGGCTCTCAGATGGGCACTGAGATGGGCACTCGGATGGGCACTGAGATGGGCACTCGGATGGGCACTGAGATGGGCACTCGGATGGGCACTGAGATGGGCACTCGGATGGGCACTGAGATGGGCACTCGGATGGGCACTGAGATGGGCACTCGGATGGGCACTGAGATGGGCACTCGGATGGGCACTGAGATGGGCACTCGGATGGGCACTGAGATGGGCACTCGGATGGGCACTGAGATGGGCACTCGGATGGGCACTGAGATGGGCACTCGGATGGGCACTGAGATGGGCACTCGGATGGGCACTGAGATGGGCACTCGGATGGGCACTGAGATGGGCACTCGGATGGGCACTGAGATGGGCACTCGGATGGGCACTGAGATGGGCACTCGGATGGGCACTGAGATGGGCACTCGGATGGGCACTGAGATGGGCACTCGGATGGGCACTGAGATGGGCACTCGGATGGGCACTGAGATGGGCACTCGGATGGGCACTGAGATGGGCACTCGGATGGGCACTGAGATGGGCACTCGGATGGGCACTGAGATGGGCACTCGGATGGGCACTGAGATGGGCACTCGGATGGGCACTGAGATGGACACGCGGATGGGCACTCGGATGGGACAAGCGGCGGGAGTGGAAGGTCCTGGGAAACAGCCGAGGGTGGGACTATTTGACCTGCAGGGTCCGTAACCGAGGGAGAGAGTGCCCAGGCCCGGCCCCGCGGTTCCAGGCTGCAGAGAAGCACCG